ACTGAATGAGAAGATGAATTTAGGATTGGGGATTTATCTATACATTTCCCAAAAATTATTCATCTTTTTAAATTTATATCTTTTCCAACAGTCAAACAACCAAATGGGGCATATTCACATGCCAACAGAGGTATTAAAAACGCCCACACTTCTTGTCACAAAGTTTCAATTAAAGTATTTATCGTTATAAAATAGAGGAAAAGAAAGAGAATAGAAAAGATGCATTATATTGGTGTGGTTTTCGTTATAGCTTATAAATAGAGGAAAAGAAAGAGAATAGAATACTACAAAATAAATGTTATATTCCAACGAAAATTTTATAGTAATATATTCCAATAGAAATTGCAACGGATATTCCAATGGAATAGCTTCCGTTGGAATAGTTCCAACAGAAATTTCAACGAAAATATTCCATTGGAATGTGTTTTTCATTGGAATTTTAGATGGAATATGATGATTCCAACGACTATATTTCCAACGGCTTTTTACCATAGGAATTTCCGTTGGAATATGCAAATTCCGTTGGAATTTTTTTTTCACCCCCGTTGGAAAATCCACCATTGGAATCGTAAAAATCCAACGGAAATTCCAATGGAAAATCATTCCAACGGAATATTTTCGTTGGAATTTCCGTTGGAATAATTCTTTTGAAATAGATTTCCGTTGGAATTTCATAATTTTCTTGTAGTGGAAAAAATGCATTATATTGGTGTGGTTTTCGTTATAGCTAAAACTCTTATTTATATGAGAAAATTATTTCACTACAAAAAAATAGTGTTCTAGTGAAGAATTTTTTTGTCACTATATCTACGATTGTTGTCACTATGTTGTCACTATATCTACTGTCAGTATATCTACAGTTGTTGTCACTATATCTACAATTATTGTCACTATATCTACAATTGTTGTAGATATAGTGACAATAATTGTAGATATAGTGACAGTAGATATAGTGACAACACAGTGACAACAAAATTCTTCACTAAAACTCTATTTTCTTGTAGTGTTTCGAGGGTAAACATAACACTCTCTGTTGAATGACTATTTTTTAAACCTATCTAAACTATAGGAATAAAATTCAATCTGAACATCTTGAAGTGTAGTTTGTGGCCATTAGAAACCACTCCGCTTCAGCATGTCAGGAAAACTCGATGGGACAAAATCTAATTGTGGGAGCATAACATTGCTCCCCTTAAAAAAGATCATCTTTAGTATAATATTCATTGTTTGCCTCATTAAAACCTTGTCAATAAAGCTCTATGGGAAAACTTGATCGAAGTAAAAATACAACTACTCCAGCCTTTTCTTATCATCAAGAAGAATCATATCATTTATCATGTAGTCCTCATTATATCATGAATATGTCTCGTTGAAACCTTATTAGGAAAAAATCCAGTGAGATAAATTTCTAATGAAGTAAAAAGAGTACACTATCCATGTGAATACGCCATCACTGTTGCCTCATTAAAAACTTTCCTGAGAAACCCCAATGAGATGAAACTTCAGCCAAAGGAAAAAGAGTACAACGCGTATTCAATATATTCATCATAACAATCATTTTTTTAATTTGTACGACTGTCCTATAGATTTATTTATTCAGATTTTCACATACTGATGGTATTCATAAATCTGCAGCACAACTGTCGATCTTACCAAAATACAATAAAAATACATCACATTTCACGATTATGTGAGAACACAAAGAATCAAGCGAAAAATATCTTTTGATCCTTTAGATCTCTTTTTATGAACCCAAATGCCATTCTTTTATGGGTTCAATTATGTAATCTTCTCACATTTCGTATTTATCGAGGATTTACTACCTCACATCTATATTTCTATCATCTCAACCTTTAGTGTTAATAATATCATTCCGCCTTCTATTCAAGATAAGTATGTAGAACTTCATAACTACAATCATTATTATAAATGCTTTTTTCGTAGCACATCATTGTAATATTTGAAGATTTCACATTAACAATGTAGTCTCGCCATCTAATATATTTCCTTAGACTCATTATTTTGTTTGATCACTCACAGTTGATAACTTTTGGTACCACTTTATCAATTTGTCCAATCACCAATGGTAGCTTTCGTGCAATTTAATCATCATGAGATAACTTTTGATATCACATTTATTATTTGAATACTTTTGGTACCATCTCATCAATTTTTGTTCCTTCATAAGTTTGGAGAAATTATCAAATGTTTCTTCCGGGATTATTCAAATTATTTATCCAATCGTGTGACATTCGACAACCACATTGGTAATTAAATAATATTCAGAGTGAATAATTTGAACTGCGCGCAATAAATATTTACTTGACGGTATCACCCATCATTTAGCGTGTATAATGCAAATTATGTAAAAAATCATCAATCTGGTAATAATTAAACTCATCATATGCGAAGCAACGTAATATTAAAATTGTATGAAAATCAAATTCGACAAATGATGGTTTAACCCATCCCTTGGAGATAATAACGACAAGAAGTAAATATAAAATTTTTAATGGCTTATTCAGAGGTTCGTCCATATAATGTTCATTCACGATCATTACTTTAGTCAACCCTTCACATGGCCATTAGTCAACCCTTTACATGGCCATATACAAAGTATCATTCATTTCACGTATCAACTATCATAATTAATTACTACGCCCGAGCCAAATTGGCCGGCCCAAGTATATATATAGTCATATATCACATCCTTTTACATGTACTATTTGTTGCACGTGGTCTTATCACCTAGTCATTCCACATCACCCGCTATCATTAATTAATACTAATTGCTGACGGTAGTGCCACTCTAGTAATATAATTCAATATAATTTGATAAACCATATCAATATTGATCTTAAATTAACTCATTAAACCAATAATTATGTGATTTAAATGAATAAATTTTAATAATATACTTTACTTTTGTTTTGTTTTTGTGAAGACTAATCTCAAGTTTAACTTGTCTTTATTTTTGTATCATTAACAACCTTATTCACAACATTTTTCATAATGAGACATTGCATTAAATATTGACTAACCATGCATTATGTAGTCTTGTCTACACATGAAAATAATGTTTGTGTTTTTCTTGCCTAGTGTTTGTCGTTTCACCTGACAATTAGGATGATCCTTATGACCAGTTTGTTACCCATTGTACTTGATTTGAATTTATATATTAATATTTGATGTTTTGGAAAAAAAAAAGAAAGAAAAAAAAAAAAAATTCTATAGTCGTACGGGGAGTTTTGTGTTATTTACATAAAAAAGAGGGACTCAAAAGGCAAAAAATTGAAAAACTTCTGCGACATTATAATGAACTGAAAAGCAAACGAAAATGGCATGGCCTTCGCCTTTTCTCACGTCACGCGTAACAAATTTCACACACACAGTCACGCACAGGTGTGTGTGCTAGCAACAGAGTAAGTAGCCGCCAGTCATCCATTTTCCGCTCCGAGGTCAATTTCGCAATGGAGGCGCCGCTGCTCGACCGGCGGAGCTCCGACGAGCTTATCGGAGACGACGGGGACTACCTCCCGGCGAGAGGGCCCAGGGACTGGTGGCGCGTTTTCTGCACGGAGACGGCGAGGCTGTGGAGGATCGGCGGCCCGATCGCGTTCCAGATTCTTTGCCAGCACGGAACCAACTCCGTCACCACCATGTTTGTCGGCCATATTGGAGACGTCGAGCTCTCGGCTTTCTCCATCGCTGTTTCGGTCGTCGGTACATTCTCCTTCGGATTCATGGTTAGTTTATTCAATTACGAAAAATACTCTGTTTTGTTACTGATAATTGATTCATCTGGTAAGGTTTATTGAAAGGAGGAAAGCTTGTTACTCGTTGCTTGACAAATCTAAGGGGTGAGCAGAACAAAACCGAAACTGAAAAAACAAGTTGACCATGTAATTTGGTTTGGTTAGGTTCGATTTTTTAGTATGGAAAATTTTCGGTTCAGTTTTTTTGCTATACCGTGGTGCATTTTGGTTATTACTCTCCGCAAGTTTGGTTTTCGAAAATTTTGGTTCGGAACCGGGGGAAAAACTGAAAACCGAGTTGAACCATACATTTCAGGAGGTTTGATTTGGTTATTTTGGTGTAAAAAATAATTCGTTCGGTCTCAGTCTAGTTTTTTCTATTTTGGGGTGCGGTACGGTTATTTTTTGTAGGTTCAATTTTTTTTTTTTTTTTGGTTTTTGTTTTTTGCGGTTCGTTCGGGTTTTGCACGGAACCGCAATGCTTTTATCATCTCAGTGTAATTTGCTTTATGCTATGTTCCATTGGGAATTTCGGTTTGTATTTTGTTTGAGCTGTGATTATCTTTTCCCCTCTGCTTGAGTATAGCATTAGATGTGACCTAGTTGGTACGTTCTGGCATTTAATATATTGAATTGATGTGTTTTAGTACTTTGAAACAAGACTTCAGACAAGAAGATGGTATTGGTTTCAGAAAGGATCAGCAGCAATTTTACTGTGCTTCTAGTGAAATTGTTGATGCAAGATCACCATGAAGAAAGTGTCTGGTGCATTATTGAATTCCAGGGTCCACACTCAAGTTGGGCACCAGCAAAAGCCTATATATGGAGCTAGTCAATGATTTATTGATTTGCTACTCCACTCAATATGAGACATTATCCTATCAATAACCCACTCAGCTGAGCTGTAGACCTTTAGTTGGCTTTAAGAGGTTTAATCAAATCAATCCTTGGATTAGTTAAATCTCTGCTAATCTATTTACATTAATGTCCCTAGCTTGGCATGGGGAGTGCCCTCGAGACTCTATGCGGCCAGGCCTTTGGAGCCGGGCAGGTCCACATGCTCGGCATCTACATGCAGCGCTCGATGATCATACTCTTCGCCAACTGTATCCTCTTGCTCCCTCTGTACATCTTCGCCACCCCAGTCCTAAAGCTGCTCGGCCAAGCGGACGAGATCGCGAATCCAGCTGGCGCGTACACGCTGATGATTGTGCCTCAGCTCTTCTCGCTGGCCGTCACTTTTCCCTCCCAAAAATTCTTGCAGGCACAGAGCAAAGTGAACGTGCTCGCGTGGATCGCGTTCCTATCTCTCGTTTCGCAGGTTTTCCTCTGCTGGTTGTTTATGGACGTGCTCGGTTGGGGGGTCGGTGGGGCCGCTCTGGCCATCGACCTCACGGGCTGGGGGACTGCAGCGGCTCAATTCGTATATGTGGTCGGGTGGTGTAGGGATGGTTGGAAGGGGTTCTCTTGGTCGGCTTTTAAGGAGATTTGGGGGTTTGTGAGGCTTTCGTTGGCTTCGGCTGTGATGATGTGTCTGGAGATTTGGTACATGGCCAGCATTACTGTTCTCACGGGGAATCTGGATAATGCCGTGACTGCAGTTGGCTCACTTGCCATCTGGTAATTTTGTTTATTTCGATTGCATCTTATTACGGTTGTGTTTTGTAAGCATATAAGCTAGCTTATAACTTATTTGGTTAGTTTATAAGCTTCATGTATTCAATAAGTTTGGTTTGGTAGGACGAGCAAGTTTATCTTATAAGTTTTTTTGGGTAATTTTTCGAATAAGCCTATTGAAAATTTTATTTCAGCTAGCTGATATCAGCTAATTTTATCGAACACTTATATGATATAAGCTAGTTTTTCAACTTTAAGTTATAAGATATAGCTATAAGCTCGAAATTCACTTAAAAGATATAAGCTAGCTTATGAGCTAAGTTTACTAAACATAGCCTAAATCGTCTGTCTTTGATCATTCTTTGCAGCACCAATGTGAATGGGATGGAAGCCATGGTTTTC